AAACGATCGTACTGTTGAAGTGTCCTCAGGCGGTCCGCGTGGCAATGTCGACGTGTGGACGGGTACAGTGGTGTCCTCTGTTACCGGCGCGTTCTCGGTGCGTCCTCTAAGCGTCCTGAAGGCTATAGCGAAGATTAGAAGTAGAAGGATAAAAGTAGTAGGGATGACATAAGAATCTCTTAGCGAAAGACCCTACGAAAATAAATCGAAAACGAAATAGTCTATAATTATATAATATAGTATATAATAATTGAAGAGAAGAGAGATGAGGTAAAGAGTAACTCTTTTCTATTCCTAACGCCGCCCTACTTTACTTTTAAGATTCTAGAAGGTTCTAGAGGGTATATTAGTACGAGATTAAGGTCTAGATCCAGTAAAAAGTAAATTAAGAGGAGGAAAGGGGACCCTAACGCTACCCTCCAGCTACTGTACTCCTTCTCTCTCCTTAGATTTATCCTCCTTATTACTAGGTTAGCTAGCTAGTTATAGAACTCTTTCTAAACCCTCACACCAGCTACTATATTAATGCGGTCACTCTAGAACGATCTGTAGCCTAAGGCGTTAGCCCCTCTTAAAGCACCCTGGACTAGTAGGATGTTTATATTACTCACTTAAGAAAGAGTTGCGCGTTTCGTTTCTCTATGGTCGATTTAGACGCTTTCCGTCTACGCGTAGTAGAAATACTGATGGCGATGTAGTAGGATAGTGCGAAGAGGAATGGGAAGAGCGGGGCCTAGGGGATCATGGGTCTATACTATCAATGCGAAGTCACGTGACTGTGGGCGTTCCCCCTCCCGGCATCGCGATGTCTGCATCCCGTCGACGCCTGAAGACCGCCACGTGATTCCGCGCACGACAAGCTAAATGAAATGACGTTGAGTTTTTGCACGAGGTTCTTCCTTCTTCTGACATCAGTCTGCAGAGCCTTGGAGGACTTACGAGCAGATCAAAGTAGCAGAAGTAAAAAGCATATCGTCCTGACGAGACAATTACCAGTTATTTTTATTCGCTCCTGAAGTTCCGATTGTTTAATCAACCGGAACTTGTAGACGCCGACTGCCGATCATTATCAAATCAGTATGGGGTCATCAGTGCGGCTGCTGCCTTCTACCTTCCTAGGTATGCCTCAAATCTTCTGTCTCACAAGATGGCGCAAATTGGGTTTGACTTGACCCGGGCCGAAGAAATCACTCACTATCAGTTTCGTGATAGAGGGCTTCTTTATGAGGCATTGCAAAGCGCAACCAGAGACAGAGATGAACTGACTGGCGAGATCCATGAGTCCGATGGCAATCGGCGTCTTGCAAAGTTAGGATTTACCGTCCTGGAGCTGGCGGTGGTTGATGAGTGGTTCAGACGAGGCATGAGCCATCGTGCGTTAAAATTGAATTTTACCGCCCTACTTAGCTGGTATAATGACGAAGATCAGGAGAGCTTGACTTGCTGCGAAAGAAATTCCTGGCCAAGGACTACTTGTCCGATGCCGCGCAGCAAAAAGCGCTACACACCTGCCTGTCGATGTCTCAGCGTCAGGAAAACATTGCTGCTCCCCCGACGACTATGAAACTGGTCTTGACTGCCGTAGTGGGCGCAGTGTGGCTTGATGCAGACAACGAGGGTCTCCATAATGTGAAGTGGGTCATGCAAACTTTTGGGTCAGTGCGCCTTTGCTGTTCATGAAGACTTCTATTCACCAGCGTACATCGACAGATTCTTTGATTGGGAGTTCTTGAACTATATCGATTAGAGCAACAATGTAGCGCGAGCGTGGAACGTTGAAGGCTGATCCCGCGCAAGCCTCTGCCGAGCTGGCGGCGTTGATATCTGGATGATCAACTGGGAGTGTTGCGGGAGACTTTAACACTCCCAGTTGATCATCCAGATATCAACGCCGCCAACTCGGCAGATGCTTGCTCGATCTCAGCGGGTATGTCATGTACCGACCTCGCCTCCGCTTCCAATAGCTGCTCGTCGGAATCCAATTTCACCTTCAGATCTGCAAGACTGTTATCCAACCTGTTTCGCCTCCTCATCAGATCCGCGTATGTTAGTTGACTCTGTCTGATCCGCTTCTTCAGTGTGTCAATGCTTCCATGGTGCTCTTTTCTCTTGTCGATCAAACCACGTATTCTCTTTGCTAAGGCTTGAGCTCTCTCTTGCCCGATACTTGTCGTCATCGAAGACTCCAGGGGTCGGCTTGGATGATGGGTGTAGTCGACTTCCTGTTTGATTTCCAGTTGTGTGGTAGACACGGGAGGGAATAAACCGTTTGAGGGAAATTTCGCCGTATTTTCGTTTTTTCGGACCCGAACCGTATCTTGTTCAGTGGAAATGAGTATGGAAGTCTGTCGAGAAACATGACTCGCCCTCTCTGCGGCTGTATATTCCTGGTTCAGTTCTCTCCCGAGGAGATCGGGTGGCGCCGAGGCCGCGCGCGAATAGGTCTGAGAGGTTGACACGGAGTCGGTGGTCGCAGCTGCAATACTGAAGCTCTGCGCTGGGCGACGAGGTATCCACGGTCCACGTCCCGTAGAGGAGCCTGCAAGGGAATTGAAGTCTCCAGATCTCCAAACCCTTGTTCTTGTACAAAGTCAGCTTTCCAGCTGTGGTTTTCTTAGTGTCAGTGTACCTTTTCTGTTCATTTATTGATACGCATTCTGGTGATGTACCCTTCCTTTTTGCGCCAGCTTTCTGCATGACTTCCTAGCAAGTCATTGTAAGGCTCACGAATCGAAATGGGAGTAATGGAATCCCTGGGCGTGCCAAGCCGGTGGTATCAATGCATTTTAATTGGCAGTTCTAGTCAGTGCGCGAGCCACATGTGAAGGCTTTGGTAGCTTCATAACATCCTTAGTCTTCGCTTTGCCTTTGTTTTATCAGGGTGTGATCCATCAGGTCCACGATGCCGGAAAGACAACCCTTACCAGGTCCGACTGATTCCGACGTGAGGATCAAGTCATTCTGACTACTTCAAATTTGCTGATGAGTGGTTTAGTTCTTTTCCCCCCTCCTTACTAAAATCCATCGCAGAACTAAAGACGAGATTATAAACGGCCGCGATGCGGGAATCCAAGCTGTCCAAGAACTGAAGGATTTCATCCGAGAACTCCAATACACGGCACGAAGCTTCGACGACACGTGCCGTGAAATTTATGAGAATGGGCTAGAGGGATTGGATTCACCATCTCGTGAAGCAGAAGGCTACCTAGAACCACAGATGTTTCTAGAGGATTCCTGTTCAGAACTTGCAGATCATAACAATCAGGTTTCGCTTGCAACTTCGCCAGGCCCATCCTTCGAAAGAGAAAGCGCTTTGAACTTGTGCTCCCAATCACACGAAGAGTACGATTCAGACAATTTCATGCCGTTGACCACCATCAATCCTCACCTGTTATCAGGTATACATCCGATTCGACCAAGAGCCAGCGCATATCAACCTATAACTCCATCTCGGCATTCTGAAAAGCGCATATGCCTACCGGATTCAGTCGGCGGACACGCCTTTCGCGGACAGGGAACGAATATGAAATCAAAGGTGAATTCGAAGCGTTCTAGTCAATTGCAAAAGAATCAGTCTCCAAAGGGGGGCACCAGGACCATTGCGGGTTCAGGCCTTTGTGCAGAGCTTAACTCAGTAGTGAACAGCCTAATATGGGGTGTGGCTGGGATCCCGTCAATCATTGAGCTCAAACAAGCACTGCAGGTTCTGAGAGAACGACTGGTGGCATCGAACATGAGCCTACCATGCTCGACCAAAGAAATATGGAAACACCTTGATATTTTGGAATCCAACACCCACACAAATAATGTCATCCATCGACTTTGTCTTGTGCGGTTGAACTCACGAAGAAATGACTTGAAAATGTTCTTTGGTAGTGGGGTCAACCACAAAAGGGCGGAGACATCGGTGATTGACAAGATCGCCGAGGATGCTGAGGAGGGAGACCGAGACAAGGTGAAGAATCGACTCCATGCGGGCGTGATCTGGGACGCGATAAATAAGGAATTTTCAATTGGAATCCTGGCGCTCATCCCCTCTGGAAAGGCGAACTGGCCCAGCAACGCTGCGTAAGTTGTGTCCAACCTCTGGTTATAACAACTCTCACAGATGACCAGGGTAGAGAAACTGAACAGGAAGGATCTTGACGACTTTCTCAGACCCGCCAAGAATAGCCGTCATAGCTTCATCAAGGAAGCAGCTCAAAAGGTGGCACAGATAATGCCATTGTTTGAGGGGGCGCCTTGTGAGACTGTATTGAAGCTTGAGAAGGCTGGTGTGGGAGAGCTGGAATCTATCCAGGACCAGGACGAACCTAGGGGTTTAGAATTCCTGGATTCAGTTTAGAGCAGAATTAGAAATATCCACACAATCCCATGTCGTGACGTCTTACGTCCATTCATATTCACCTTCATATGGGCCCCGGACAGGCCCCCGGACCAGTCACAGCAGTTTAGCATGGTGTCGAAATGCAACGCCAGCACAGGCCTTGGCCTCGTGTGTACATATTTCCCTCCATGTCGCACCGAGAGCTATTCTCAGAGCTTCCCCTTGCAGTGGCAAAACAGTGTCCTGGGTTTGTGTCTCTCCTACTATTTCTGCCCTTGTGGCTTCAGCTGCCCAATTTTTGTTGAAACATTTGGCATAATGGATCCTGTTCGACGATCCAAGCTGCGATGGCTATATACGAAGATTCTCGCGGGCAAGGAGCAACTTGGTTCCAACAATGCAAAACAATTCCTAGAGGCGATCATTTCTGAAGAATATCCTGGGATGTGCATCCAAAGATTGAATGCCAGCGCTACACGCTTAGGATCTCTCCGGACGGCTTTGCTACCGACGCATCACTGCCCTTTCTGAATGGAATGTTCACCTCTCTGATTCGATATGTGCAAACCCCTGAAATTGTGACGATATGTGGCGGGTATCTGGTGCAGCAACTTGCCTCAGCGATTGTTGAAGTAGAAGTCACCTGGAATGCTTATATTGAAGCAGTAGCCTGCGGTAGACTGAACGACGAAGCCTTAGACGTTCTGTCCTCGTTCCTCGTCGAGATTCTCTCATCACAGGATGCGATCCCTCGTATTGTCGAGCTGGCCGGAACGAGAAGATTCAAGAGCGGATGCTTGCCCACTCGACCATGGACGTCCGACTCCGTGCACGAAAGATAGCTCATAGGCCTGGTGGGCGTCACGATAATGATTTTGAAGACATACATGCTATCCACATCATGCCCACAGCCGAAGAACTTGCCTCAAAAGATCCATATCTACCTCGAGTCCAGGACATGGACAACCCCTGTGGTCCGACGAGTCTCGCAGCACAAGTGGATCGACATTTCCGTTTGCTACATGAGGACATGATTTCTGATCTCAGAGACGAGCTTGGGCACATAAGATCTCCTGATAAATCACCTGTTCGAAAGAGGCTACGAGTCTTTAGCCTTAGCCTTGCAGGCGCCCTATGTGATGAGAAACGGCAGTGGAGTCTGCAATTCGAATGCCTTATTGGCCTACCTCAAATCAATGCTTTACCTCCTGGCAAAAAGAAGAAGTTTGTTAAGGAGAACACAAATTATCTCAAAGATAACTCGGTTGGCTGTCTCATGATAGACGATCAGTTTTGATCTCTCGCCACCATTTGCCGCGACGAAGCCCTTCTCGACCACCAACCGCCAGTTCTCTGCCTGAGAATTCCGGAGGCGAGTGTCAGAAACGTGATATCAAAGGCGATATGATCGCTTCCAGTGTCTTTATCCAGTTGAACACACCAATGTTCTCGTATGAGCCAATCCTGAAGCAACTGAAAGCAATCAGAAACATACCGCTAGCAAAGGAGCTCTTCGCCGGTGACAAAGATTGTATGGTCAATGAAATTGATTACAATGTGAATCCGAGTCTCCAGAGCCTCCTGGAACAAGTTGAGAAAGGCGCCGTCGTCCGAATTGACAAAGTTCTTGGCCTGCCTCGAGAAATCAGACTGGACAAGTCGCAAGCCCAACGCTTCCTTGCTGAAGCGCGCCAGAAGGTCTGCACCATCCAAGGCCCTCCAGGTAAGCACCAATATAGGTGAATGGTGGTGAAGCTATCCTCAGAACTGAATATCTGTCACAGGGACTGGTAAATCATTCATGGGCTCTCTGATCGCGAAACCAATCCTGCACTTCACGAATGAGAGGATTCCCGTCGTCTGTTACACGCACCATGCGTTGGATCAATTTCTCAAAGAGCTTTTAGATCTTGGTATACCGGATTCTGATATCGTGCGTTTCGGAAGCACCAAAAAGGCCACCGTCAGGACAAAACCACTCTCACTGCAGGAAAGTCCTTCAAGTCGCAGGCTGATCCCAATCCAATTCAACATGCTGCAAAAGGCGAGGGATGCGGTCACACGGAAAGGCCGAGCACTACAACAGGCGGTTGCACGTTTGCAAGGAACGAACTTTTCAAAGTCAGAAGTCTTGGAACATCTCGAATTCCGATCAGAGGGTCCCCCTTTTTTGGGGCCTTTGAAGTACCTTCAGTAGAAGGGAAAATGACCCAAGTCAGCAAGGGTGGGCGAAAAGTGGACAGATTCTACCTCCTGGACCAGTGGAGACGAGGAAAGGATGCTGGAATATTTCAACGAAGCCATGGCTCCAGATTTCCCGAAGATTGGAATTTGAAGGCAGCGGAGGGATCAGAGATTTATGAGCAATGGAAGCGTGAAATGATGGAGACTGTGTCAGCACTTGTATGTGAAGCGGGAGAGGTCTACAACAAAGCCCTTGCACAGGTGCGTGCAATCTACATGGAGAAAGACCTTGAAGTCATGCGGCAGAAACGGATCATCGCTTGCACCACAACAGCAGCAGCGAAATATGTCAAGCATGTCCAGTCGGTATCGCCGGGAGTCGGATTGGTCGAAGAAGCCAGAGAAATACTCGAGAGCCATATTCTCACAGCGATTAGACCCAGCACGAAGCAACTCATCCTCGTCGGTGACCATCAACAGCTTCGTCCGAAAATCAGCAACTACAACTTGACGGTGGATAAGAGCGAAGGATACAACTTGAACAGATCTCTCTTCGAGAGGCTCGTGCTTGAAGGCTCCCCACACCAGGTCCTCGTCGAACAACATCGGATGCGTCCAGAGTTATCTGCTATCCTCAGAGAGCTCACGTATCCTGAGCTTTGCGACGCCCCCAACACCAAAGGACGCCCTGATCTACGCGGATGTACAGACAACCTGATTTTCTTGGACCATCGACATTCAGAAGTGGAACTCGTAGATGTACGGGAGTGGAGAGACGGCTACACTCCTTCCAGGAAAAATCTTTTCGAGGGTGAGATGACATGGAAGTGTGTACGCTATCTGGGTCAGCAGGGATACAGAACCGACAATATTGTCGTCTTAACTCCGTACCTCGGCCAACTGAGACTTCTGATGGATCCTTGACCTCGACTCCCATGATTTGGTCCGCGCTGGGTTAATGCCGGGGGCATTGGCGGCTTGTGAAAACCCCAAAATCAGGTTGTCAACAATCGGTAAGTGGCAAACTAGACAACATCACCCTAAGCATTTTTGTGTAATTGACATGATTAACGAGTGACAGACAACTTCCAAGGCGGCGAAAGTGACATAGTGTTCGTCTCCTTGACTCGGAGCGATAACAAAAATGACATCGGCTTCCTCTTTTCCCCAGAGCGGGTGAACGTGCTTCTCTCTCGAGCTCGCAACGCTCTTATCATCATTGGAAACTCTGAGACATTCTTGGGATCTGCAAAGGGTGGAGAACTATGCATATTTACGAAGATCTGCCTGTTCGGTGCCAGCAGCATCCAGCTCACAAAGCCGTCCTCAAACTGCCAGAAGAATTTGACGAAAAATGTCCAGATGGTGGCTGCAACAAGCCATGGTGAGTCCGGCTCTGGTGCGAGTACCTCCCAGTTGATTGACTCCATCTAGTGAAACCATCTTGAATTGCGGAGTCCACAAGTGTCCGCAACGCTGCCATCAGCTGTTTCATCATTCGAAAATTCCGTGCGAACAGATCTTGGAGATCGGTTGCAAGAATGATCATCTTGAACTGAGAAAATGTCATCAGTTGACGAGAGGGAAGTGCAGCCAGTGTAAAGATGGCGAAGAACGGGAACAGCGAAGACTGAAGCACGACCTCGACATCCAGGAGCGGCGAACCCGGCTTGATGCGCTGCATGCCGGCAGGATGGAGAAGATCGACCAGCAGATCCAGTCTACTCGAGACGTGGAGGAGGAGAACAGCTACAAGAGGACCGAGAAAAGGCTCTGCAACAGAGACAGCGAGACCTGAAAGATTTGCAACAATCTCTATCTCAAGAGCCTCCATCTCATGTCGCGGAACCAACAACTTCAGTCACAGGAGAGACGCCCAAGGCTCCGCGAACTCCGCTTCCTAAAGGTCAAGTACGCCCATCACAATCTCCCAACATTACTTGGCCTGAGCCACCGCCCACTCCCGAAGACTCCCCGGAGTTTGAGTGGCAACGCCAAAAGCGAGTCGAAAATGCAACGAATGACGCTATTGATGCCATCATGGCAATGGCGGGGTTGAAAGAGGTCAAAACAAAGATTTTGACGATCAAGGCAAAGACAGATGTCGTTAAAAGGCAGAACACCGACATGAAGAAGGAAAGGCTTGGAATGGTCATGCTCGGAAATTCTGGTACAGGTAACTCTGAATTCTAGGGGCGAGGAACCTTAACTGATAAACGAAAGGTAAAACGAGTGTGGCAAGATATTACGCGAAGTTTTTGACCAGCGTTGGCGCACTGCGCGGGTCGGGATTTGTTGGAGTTACAGGCTCGAGCCTGGCTAACGAAGGTGTGGCTGGGACGAAAAAGCATATTGAGAACCTCATAAAGTCGGGCGGAGGCGTGTTCTTCCTCGATGAAGCATACCAGCTCACGTCAGGAAATTCCTTTGGCGGTGGAGTTGTGCTCGACTTTCTCCTGACGGAGATCGAGGAGAAGATCGGCTCGATTGTATTCATCTTTGCAGGCTACACGAAAGAGATGGAGAAGTTCTTTGAGCACAACCCTGGCCTCGAGCCGCTTGCCCCACCGAATAGCCTTTGCGGATTGTTCGAATGCCGAACTGTTGACTATGTTGGAAAAATACGTCGACCAAAAATACGCCACCCGTGCGACTTTTGAAGATGGTCCACAGGATCTCTATGCGAAGATATTAGTCGACCGTCTGGGCGTAAATCGAGGCATGCCAGGTTCTGAAAACGCCAGATCTCTGCACAATACCTGGTCGAGGGTGTCAGAACGGCAAGCTCAACGGCTGGTGAAGGAGCGCAAAGATGGACTTTCCCCTGATGACCTTTTCTTTTCGAAAGACGACCTCATTGGACCGCAACCCAAAGGAGTCCTTCAAACCAGTGCGGCTTGGAGAGAGCTACAGAGCATGATTGGGCTGAAGCAGGTCAAGGAGAGCATCAATACTCTAGTTGGTGGCGTGGAAAAGAACCATCATCGAGAGCTTGTTGGAAAGCCTCCCATTCAAGTGTCGCTCAACCGGAATTTCACTGGGAACCCTGGAACTGGAAAGACGTCGGTAGGAAAGCTCTATGCTGCTATTCTCGCAGAATTGGGATTACTTTCGAAGAATGAGGGTAAGTTTAATGACCAATTCACGATTCCCGTCGGTTCGAAGGCACCAAGAATTCTTGCTCATTCATTTGTGTTTAGTTGTGTACAAAACCCCGAGCGATTTTGTCGGTGCACGTCTCGGAGAATCCGAAAGAGACACCAAGGCAATCCTGAGAGCTAGCGAGAGCAAGGTCCTCCTCATAGATGAGGCGTACGGTCCTCTTGCGGGCTGTGGAGTTGGAAAAGGACAGGCCGACATCTACAAGGCCGCGGTCATCGACACAATTGTTGGCGAAGTTAAAAACACCCCAGGCGAAGACCGCTGTGTGCTACTTCTTGGGTACGAGGACGATATGAAGGAGATGCTGGATAACTCGAACCCAGGCCTCGCGAGACGGTTTCCCATCAGCGAAGCATTCCACTTTGACGATTTCGGAGACGAAGAACTTCGACAAATCCTCGACTTCAAGCTGAAAAAGCAAGGCCTTGATGCCACAGACGAGGCGAAAGACGTCGTTATCGGGATCCTATCCAAAACTCGAGATCGTCCCAATTTCGTAAACGCAGGCGAAGTCGAGAACTTGATCGGCTGAGCAAGGCACATCATCAAGCGCGATCGCAATCCTCGCCGATGAACAACGAGAATCCCGACGCGATATTCCTGCCACAAGATTTTGATCCCGACTTCGACCGAGCATCGCGATCAGGTAGCATTTGTTCCAGGATCTTCGGCAACCTTGTTGGCGCTCAGGAGTGGACCTGGAAGTTCGAGAGACTTCAGAGAATGGCTCTCAACATGAAAGGTCGAGGCAAGGATCCAAAGGAGCATATCGCCTTCAATTGGGTTTTCAAGGGGCCCTCCAGGTAAAGATCGAATGAATCCATATGTACCAAGAACCAAGATGGCATCACTGACGGATTTGCAGTAACCGGAAAGACCACTGTAGCTCGAAAAGTGGCAGAATTTTACTACGAAATCGGCATCTTTTCAACGAAAGAGTACGTCGAGTGCTCCGCGTCCGATCTCATCGCCCAATACGTCGGCCAGAGCGGCCCCAAAACGAAAGAAGTGCTCACCAAAGCGCTTGGAAAGGTCCTTTTCGTTGACGAAGCATATCGTCTGTCTGACGGCCCTTTCGGCAAGGAAGCTGTCGACGAATTGGTCGACTGTGTAACGAAACCCCAGTTCAAAGGGAAAGTCGTCGTCATCCTCGCCGGGTATTCGAATGATATCGACCGACTGCTCAACGTGAATCGCGGACTGGCGAGCCGGTTTCCTGAGAAGCTGATCTTCGAGAACCTGAAGTCAGATTCGTGTCTAGAGCTACTGGAGAAAGAACTCGACAGGCTCGGAGTTTACATTAGCTTTCGAGCGAGCCGAGGATTCGTTCGAGCCGCTGGTGGCAACAGAAGTCGACATGCTGAAAGAGCTTTCTGATCTGCTTACAATACGGAAACACCGTGAAGCCAACAAGGCGACATGTGACCCAAGTCCGGTCTTCCAGATGCAAGACGACCATTTCGCCTCCAGGCCCAGCTTTTCACACAATATCAATGTGTCAGAACACGCTGCGATATCAGAAAACGTCATCAGTGCCGATCATGCGGGCCCGACAGAAGAGTCTGAGACGCCCAACACCAACAATCGCGACTCAGGTGTATCAGATGCGACGCGGACACAGCTTCAAAGGGACATAGAAACGCAATCTGCCGCTGAAGCCGCCTTTCAAGCAACGGTCTTTGACCATGAACGCCTCATCATGGAACTCGAGACCTCGTCAAATGAGCGTTCGTCGAGGATTGCAGAGCTTGAATAGGATACTAATGCTTTCCAAACGGATCAAGAGACAGCTAATGAGCTCAAGCGTAAGCGAGAAGGAGGAACGTGTACAACAGCTCGAAATCAAAAGTAGGAAAAGTGAGAAGAAAGAGACGTTGAGACGTATTAAGGATGCGGAAGAGGCTAGAAAGAAGTGTGAAGCGGAAGCACAAAAGAAATTGGAAACAATGGGCGTCTGTTGTGCAGGCTTTAGATGGATAAAGCAAAATGGAGGGTACAGGTGTGCTGGGGGATCTCATCTTGTGACGGATTCACAGCTTAGACTCTAGTGATGAAATAGATATTATTATAGTAGTAGTACTTACGTATCCTGAGATCTCAATGAATATCCACGCTTTTTCCTAAAGAAACGTTTAACCATAGCAGTAATTTCAAAGATTAACTAACCTCTCCCCTTACACGTAGAACATCGAATTTTGCACCTTCGGATGCAATTTGACCGCACTTTGATCCGGTAATTGCGTCGACTGAGTGCTCGTTGAGCCACTTTCTGAGACCTCCGGATCAAACAGGCCGCTGAGATAACATCTCGCCCGCTCGCATAATAGGTCGGCGTAGTACGCAGGCGGGCAGATACTGACGGCTTTGGTTGCGCGTCCGAAGAGATAGCAGAGATTGTGCGTCAGGTCTTCCACCATATCAGCGGGATTGCCAAAGGGCGGCTTGACAGGCAGTCGCCGAAATATCTCGTCCAGCACAATGTAGTAATGCGCAGGACGAGCGGTTCCTTGCAAAGCGGTGTGGGCTTGTAAAAAGAAGTCCCAGTTTCGAGCTTCGGTGATGCCGCGGTCGACAATCGTCCCGTTCGGTGGGTTCGATGATCTATCTGCGTCGGTTTCTTTGGTCGGGTAGAAGCGAGTGTTGTGCCGCTTGCCAACGATGATGATGGTGATGCGAGGAAACCCGCTTTTAGTCTTGTTGGGGGAGTATAACTCCTTGCAAGCGGCTCGGAATGATGGAAGTTCTTTCTCGAGAACCGAGTTGTATTGACCTTCGGAGACACCGTCACGGTAAACGAGAATATTATCGGGAAGGGACTTGTTGACCTTTTGCCACAGCTGAAGTCGTGATTGAATCAGTGGCTGAAGGCCCGTAATCATCTCCTGGCCAGGAGGTTGAATGAGGAGCTCTGCTGGCCATTGTCCGAGCCAATTGTCGACTGATGCCACGATGCCACTAACGCTGGGTGCCGTTTTCGCAGAATTTGGGGACGGATGTGTAACATCCAAGCCGACGATCATGGTTTTTCCTTCAGCCACAATGCCGAGCTTCTGGGTGTTGAGTGAATGATTCCTGCCTCCAAGCTTTAAATTGACCTTTAATGCAACATTGGCGAAATATTGGTCGTTGTAAGGTTTGACGAACTTCGAAGCCACAGTGCAAACGTTGAGGAGTCCTTCTTTGACGTCGCAGGCAGTTTTGACACGATTGTAGATTCTGGTGTTCTTCGAGGGAAGTATGACAAGCAGAAAGCTTGGCGGCTTCTTCCTTTCACTATGCATGAATAAGTGGATAGAATTGTCGATCTGTCTCTCCATTGTGGAGTGGTCGAGAATCAGATTCATCCCTGAGGTGTGATTGACGGCGGTAATACCAAGCTCTTGCAATTTCTGGGTAAAACCATCCAGCGCGGTTTGCAGGCTTTGTTCAGAGCCCCATGGTGAGACAGAACCATGCATCGAGATTGCGAGGTAAGTCCAGTAAGGCAAGTTTGATTGCGTCGAGAAACGCACGTTTTGCAAATTCCAGCTCCCTGCACGAGGGTTGGTGACGCCTTTTCCATGATAAAGGACCCTTGGGGTGTCCAAAACACGACCGGGCAAGCAGACAAAATTGGGCTTGATCTCAAAACCAAAGTTATTCTGCTCCGTCTTTTGTGAGTGATAATGACGCCAAGGAAATGGAGGAACTGACCAGCGTAGCATTCATCGGTGATATCCCTAGTAAGCTCACCCCAGAAGTTGCAATGAAGCGGGCGTTTTGGTCTGGTGAACGCACCGCATATTTAATCATGTTCTGCGTTTGAGGCGGGCTCAGTTTCGTTAATGCATGCTGGCCCCCGATGACATGACAGACTTGAGCTGGGAGATAAGATGGATTTTGTTTGTTTCCAACATTGACTACTGGCAAGCTAGTGTCCCGAATGACCAGGTTGTATGCTGTTGGGGGTAAGTTATGACTATCATCGTCGTTTTGGAGGGGGCTCACTTTGCTTGAAGAAGTCGTAGACGCTGACATATCTCCCCTGAGTTGCACCGCTGCTGCTGTTGCTGCCTCCTCCGGGTCTCTGCCTCTGTGTTTGAGAACCAGGATCGGCAGCTGCCAGGAAGAACTTCACTTCCTTCGGACCGGCACCGAAACTGTGTACCACAGGCTTGTGTACCTGCTGTTGACCATCACCTTCCGATGCAAGGCCAAATATTTGTTTGATTCGAGGAATGACCTTTCTGCTCCTGTCCCTTCGCTGGATGTGTGTGACGCTCACCGACAATCGCCTCAGAAAAGTTTCCAGCTTCCGCTTATTGTTCCCATTCTGAGTTATGAAGACATTGATGAGCCCTTCCAATGGTCCTTCTTGAAAAAACGAGCCGTACTTGACCTGCACGTTGACAAGAATTCGCGCTGTGGCCGCTCGGGCACTCATAAAGAACCCTCGGATTGCCTGTAGCCCTTCTCCCAAGTTGACCTTCTCCGTTGTAGCTGTGTTGGGGTAGTGTTTGTGTGCTCCAACGCTTGTAATGTCAGACGCCGCTTTTGGATGATGTCCCATTACAATATTGAGAGCTTGGATCAGCTCATCTTTGGAGCCGAAAAGTGCGGCGCTTTTTGTGGAGGTTACATAATCCAGCAATTCTGAAGTCAACAGAGCGGCCGTTTGACGAAGTGTGATCTGGAATACGGGAGCATTAGGGCTCGGGTCTTGCTCGTGTTCTTGGCGATATGGCACCCGATAGTGATCCCTGATATTCAATTCCACTTTGCTGAGCATGTTCGATCTGAAATCCGTAACGATATCAAGTTCTTGGTCGCTGAAATGATCCTCGAGCAACAAGTGCACCAAACGTCTCGCCATTTTGGCACCTGGACCTTTGCCGCCGGCAGTAGGAGTGATATTGATTGAATAACGGTAGAGGAGGAGATTCCCGCATCCTGTCAATTCGAAGTAGTTTGTCCACAACAGTATCTCTTTCCCCTTTGTTCCGAAACCTGGACGTTCCGGGAAGACGCTTGTGAGGGCAGAAGAGCTTTTTGATCGCTGGATATTTGCTTGTATCTCCTCCTCAATTCGCTTCACCCTTGAATCATATGCTATCGCAGAGCCTCCATCCGGGCTGAGAATTGTCAGCGTCTGTCAGGAAAGCCAATGTTTGATCCCGTACCGATAAACGCTGACCTGAGTTGGCAGGCCTCTGCCTCTGCCTCTGCCTGAACCTCGATCTCCTCTGCCATGCCCTCGAGGGTTGAATGGCTGTCCTCTGTCCCCACCTCCACCTCTACCTGCAACTTGATCTCCTCTGCCACGGCCTCGAGGATTGAATGGGAGCCCCCTTTCCGCACCTCCACCTCTAGGTACTCTTCCAGACATTTTGTAGAAAGTGTGCCGTAAAACTTTAGAGTTAGCGGGATGAACAGCTGGCAGTGTTGAAGCTGGAGTGAGAAAGATGAACAGTTGTCAGTGTTGAGGTTTCGGGTAGTCAAGAATCAGGATCCTGCCCAGCCACTATCATCGTGTATTGCTAATAAGAACCATGTAATACAAGGTATAAGGATGCTCTTGCCACTTGCCGAGGGAAATATTTCCAAGTTGATAACTGGTAGATGGATGAGACTTCACCGGCCCTTGACGTCCCAATCAGAATCAGATGTGGGTCGTGACTGCTAGATGCCTCAGCGGGATTACGAAAGGTGTGATGACCGTCCCGAGACCCCTCCTGAATCCGACTTGTCCTCGAAATTGAGTCACTTAGGTTAATTGAAATTTATCTCTGCGAATCATTGCAACGACTTTGTCGAACCCTGATTCGAGAGAGGTCGATCGACAAGCCACGCACAAGACACTGTGTTGGGTTGAGGGTACACGCTATATCAACACTCTCATGTTTGCTACAATTTTCCGCTTGAATTTTCAAGGATGCAAGGGATGAATCAACGAGCTTGCAGAAACTGTACTTGGCTTTACTCAAACACACTTGTACCCTGCTCGTCAGAGCTTGAGAGCCACTTTCCCATATACCTTGTTTTCTCGCGGCCGGGTTTCTAGAACCTCACCATGGACCAAATCACCGCGCGCACCCGTAGCTACCAACTAGAGATGTTCGAAAGAAGCATGCAGGAGAATATTATAGTGGCGGTAATCAATCCTCGAGAATATAAGATTCCGCGCTGATCCAAAGTTCATAGATGGATACAGGGAGCGGGAAAACGCATATGTAAGAGCGCGATCGAAACATCTAACTTCGACTCACACATTTCAGTGCATTGCTTCGAATAATGGCTGAGCTAGAGCGCTGCCCATTGGACAAGGTCAGTTACCAGCCAGGTAGGAAGATTGGGATATAATAGGCTGACCATCACACTGCTTGTCTGGTTTCTTGCGCCTCATGTTGCTCTATGTGAGCAACAATATAATGCCCTCCGCATTGGCCTCCCCTCAGTGAGAATCAAACTCCTTATCGGCAACGATAATGTGGATCGGTGGAGCGAGCAGCGCATCTGGGATGCGGCACTAGATGGCGTCCGTGTGATGGTGTCAACCCACAAAATCCTCGAGGAAGCTCTCGCACATTCATTTGTGAAGATTAAAGACCTAGCTCTCTTGGTCTTCGACGAAGGTACACACTTCTTTGTCCTGGGACTGACCTGAGACTGACTGAGGTATCAACAAGCGCATCACTGTATTCGAAAACATCCTGCAAACAAGATCATGGCCAACTTCTACTATCCCAAGAAAAGCGAGCATCCTGATCAAGTTCCACGTGTATTGGGTCTCACCGCAACGCCCATTGTGCGGTCAAAGCTCCATGAAATGAAGTCTGTCTCCCTGATGGTAATATATTCGTTGACTTAACCTTTTTCAGCACGGTCGAACGCAATCTTGACGCCATCGCAGTGACAACAAAACTCCATCGTGACGAGTTGTTTCGCTTTGTTCATCGACCAGACTTGGTCCCTCTGGTATACAAAATCGACTGCCTGGCCAATGCCAGCACTGCTCTAGAGAGGCTACGACAAATATGCTCAGCTCAGGCTGTCTCTCCGGCGCCTACTGACGCTTTACGATCTAAAAGCATACCCCAGCTTCCGTGGAAAGAGCAACTTGCCAAGTTTCGAACCAAGGCACACCACGTTTTGAACGAGTTGGGGCCTTGGGCCACCGACTTATTCATTCTGGAATCGATCAAAGTCTTAGAAAAGTCGGGTGGGCACAACACTGGTCTCTTATTCAGCTGGACAGATCAGGAGCATCGAGTTCTCACGAAACTCCTCTGCAAAGATCCTGTGCTCTCGCAGCTTCAGTACGATATTGCACCAAGTCATAACAACGTCTCAAAGAAAATGGCCTGTCTACTATCCTTCCTTGGATCAAGAGACGCGAGCCAAAGCACCGCTATAATATTTGTTCAACAGCGAGTGATAACTGGTCTCCTAAGCCAGCTCCTTTCGGCCCATCCCTCCACCAGCGGAAGTTTTCAGTGTGCGGCATTTGTTGGCATGTCTCAGAATCGGAGTAAAAAGTACAATTTGCCTGAACTCCTCGACATGAAGGAACAGCTGCAAACCCTCGCCAGTTTCCGCGCGCGAGCCAAAAATGTGATTGTTGCAACCAATGCCTTGGAGGAAGGCATAGATGTACGAGCATGCAACCTTGTCATCTGCTTTGACCTCCCACAAAACTTGAAGTCTTTCATTCAACGGCGGGGCCGGGCTCGACAGGAAAAGTCCGTGTTCGCGCTGATGTTTTCGGAAGAGGAATCCCAAGATAGGCTGGCAGCGTGGAAAACACTCGAGGACGACTTACAGCGCTTGTATCAGGATGCCTCAAGATTGAGAGTAACAACACTACATCTAGAGCAAAGTGAGCGGGTAGATTACTCACTCAAATCATCAACGACCGGGTAAGTCTATCCTCTTATCGGAGAATATCTCTCTAACAACAGGACAGTGCAACGCTCACCGCCGAGGACACTATGGCCCATTTACACCACTTCTGTGCTAAGCTGCCCGTCGAACCGTTCACCGATATGCGACCAATGTTCTCATACAAGCAAGAGCCGCCTGGATCAGAGGAGATCACTGCAGTCGTCACCCTCCCAAACTGTGTAGACGCCTCGGTTCGTGTTGCAACAAGTCTCCATAAATGGAAGACGGAGAAAAATGCAGCGAAAGACGCCGCGTTTCAAGCTTACACCGGGCTGTACTCTGCCGGCCTTCTCAACGAGAACTTGTTGCCACTCTCCCATGATTTTGAGATGCAGCTGGACGTCTTGGACAAGCTTGGATCCCAAGTCGACATAGACCTGGAATACAGTCCGTGGCAGCTTGTCGCTCAAGCCTGGTCATCGACGTATGTATACGATCTTGCGGTGCAGTTCAATTTCCATGAACGCACCGAGAGGCCGCCTGTCACAATGAAACTCGCCTTTCCTTGTGAATTGCCTGATCTACAGCCACTGAGGGTGCAGTTGACCGCGGATGCGACTGTCTATATGACATTTCAACACGATCGCAGACGAAGATTCATCACTCCGACTGACAGGGATCTCATGAGGAAAGTGACGCATATCATTAGCCGCTCGACGCATTCTGACTACAGCTCGGACGACAGAATTGACTTCCTAGCTCTTTTTACGCCAGTCATGGAAGACATGATGCTGCAGACTTGGCTTACTGCTAACAAAGGGAGAATTAAGGCATTGGAGCTTGTGAGCGTCTCTCGCAGCCTGATCCCTCGGGGATTCGTCCGGCACACGACAGAAGGACGACAGCCCCAGATTTTCAACTCGTGGACGGTAAATAAGGATACTGCAACCTCAAATTTGCATCAAATTACATGCACTCCACTTCCAAGTAGAAGAAATTTCAGGATTTCTCCCCCTGAGTATTCTGGGGCGGGAAAACTGAAGATCAGGAGCGACAACAAGGAAGAACACCCGAAGCTCAACTACTATCCCCTCGATGAATGCACTATAGACCGTCTCCCCGTGGAAATCGCACGGCTCAGCCTTCTGCTCCCCACGATCCTCCAACATATCGCGAACGCGTGGATCGCGGACCGGATGTGCCAAACAGTTCTGAAAGAAATCCCGTTCCGATCCCTAGATCTCGTCATCACCGCCATCACCCCACCGAGCGTGCAGTGGTGTACGAATTACGAAACGCTAGAATTTCTCGGAGATTCGATCCTAAAGCTAGTCGTGTCTATACAGCTGTATGACCGCCACAAGAATTGGCCTGAAGGGTACCTCACGCTGAAAAGGGCCGTGTTGGTGTCGAACCAGTATCTGGCCAAGGCTGCGTTGAAAGCAGGTTTGTCAACATTTATCAGGACGACTCCTATATCTTGGAAGAGGTGGTCGCCAATATTCATATCGGACATGATGGCCAAATCCTCATGTGCCGCTCGAACGGTCCGCATGAAAGTCCTGGCGGACGTTGTCGAAGCCCTCATTGGGGCTGCTTTTGTCGATGGAGGTTTTGGCTCAGCGGAAACCTGCATTCGCCATCTGCTCCCTGGTCTGGACAATGGAAAGCTCTCCTTCGCAGTCCAGACAGACAAGGGGCAAATGATCGCCAACCAAGACAGGTTTGAAAGCGTTATCGGATACGAGTTCCGCCACCCTTGTCTGTTGGTCGAGGCGTTGACGCACCCTTCCTGCGAAAGAGATCGATTCTCCCAATCATATCAGCGACTTGAGTTCCTTGGAGACGCGGTACTCGATTCAATCATCGCCTCGCAGCTCATGACGCATAAGGTGTCATCACGGTCACCAGGAGTGATGACCCGTGTCAAATCAGCGATGGTAAATGCCCATTTGCTTGGATTCTTCTGTATGGAATTCTATCGTACCGAAGAATTTGAATTCGTGCAACAACAACAACCTGACGGGAAGTTTAATATTGAGACAGAAACGACCAACATTTATCTGTGGCAACTCATGCGCAGTCACAATGACGTGGTCCGGGATCGTCGAATTGATAGCCTCGATCGATTCGAGAAACTAGGTGGAAGCATCCGACGGCAGCTCGACGACAGCTCGGAATATCCCTGGCTTGACTTGTCTATGTTGCGGCCTGAGAAATTCTTCTCTGACATTATCGAGAGCTTGGTAGGAGCCATATACGTAGATTCCAAGGGGTCTCTCGAAAAGTGTTCAACTTGGCTCGATTACATTGGCCTCATCAAATATCTCCGGCGCGTCTTGGATGAAAATATTGATGTTGTTCATCCAAGGACGAAAGTGGATTGGAAGACAGGTGCACAAACTACTGAGTATAAAGTCAGCAAGGTGGCTGATCCGGCGGAGAAATTTCAGTGCATCTTGTTAGTTGATGAAAAGACTTGTGTTCAAGTTGACGGCTACGATACTTCTGATGTTGCGATTGTTGCTGCTGCTCAGAAAGCGCTCAGTATCCTTCCGTGATGTTTCCGCAGTTTGTAGCGATTCGAAGAAGTTGGTACAATTTCCAATTCAAGAGCACTTAATTACCAGGGCCAGAAGCTGATGACACCCTCCTACCTCAGCACTTGAGTCACAGAAGTCTTCCGATACAGTAAAACTATCTTCTTCTCTCCTAGCCATTTGGCACGCAGCTCCGGGGGAAGAACATGATGCATTGCCTGACGTATCGGACCAAACTGCCAAGTTGCCTTTTGCAACCCTGGGAATTTCGATTCTCCAGTTCACCTGCTTCTGGGCGACGACATCCAGTAGGTTCAATACTTCCTTCAAACGCTCCAAAGTCTCTTTTTTGTTATCCTCCCAGTCCTCCACACCTGCTCGAACATCCTTGATTTGGACGTCCTTGAAAGCACTCGATCGTGGTAAGCGACGATGAAGTTTGGGACCTGGTTAACCCATAGTCGGACATGCATTTCGTTCATATCCATACAGTTATGGGGTGCTCTTGTCTTTAGATCGAAAATGGACTCTTGTGGGCAGACATGTTCCCCGTGACAAACTTTCAGTGCTTTGGAGTCGGTGAGGTCTGAAGGGACGTCATCCGAGAAAACTTTAGTTCGAGCAAATGCAGAGGCAACGTCCTTACTGTTCCCAGAGGCAGTGTGACTTACAGGGCGTTTGGCCTGATTGTCATCTTCCAGCTTCCGTGGGAAATATCCGTCTGTCTCAGATCTGACCCCAAGATTCAGTCCCCCGAAAGAATATGATACCAATCGTTGGTGAGACTGGGATCCAATACAAGCTGGGTCCCAGTTGGTATAGGCTTCAGGAAACATATGCCCATAGCCACGAACGTCGGGAATGGTGTCACGAGGATTGTTTTCCTTCCTGATCAGGAACAACGTGATTCCCACCTCTCAGCCACGAATCTGAAAGTTCTGTCTCGCTCCCCAATGAAGGCAAGCAAAGAACCCATCGTGTTGCCGCAGGCAAATACATCAACCTCTTGTCCATCGAAGTCAGGTTTCATCGTGAATATGGCGCGAACGCCAGGCTCCGTAGGATATGGGGCATATTGAGAGGCATTCTTGTCTCTGAAATATGTGCCTCTGTCCTGCTTTAGAGCTGGAGCATGGACTAGAGGTGCCCATCTTGGAGAGCTGCCTGGGAGGAATCAGACGAAGCCGTTCGTGAGGAAGTTCACATACCTGGAACCAGGATTGTCGGTCTATCTCTTGCCAACCGATTATACGAGGTTACGTAGGAGGCATCAATAATCTTGAGGATGTCGTCCTTCTCGCCGGCCTTGAGAGCGGAGGTGCGGATGGCCAGCAAATGCTTCTGGGATGGTAGTATGGGAGGGAGTTCCGGAAAAGGGTGTGCGCCCCACTTTTGGTAAGAAGAATAAGTCGCTGCCATCTTTGAATCTGAGCGGCGAGGTAGGTGGTCGCGGAATAAAGACAGAGGGATGGGAAGATTCCAAGCGCAAGCGATTGAGGTGCAGCTTTTGCAAGTGTTTTCAAGGTACCATCTTGCTGACGAGGCGAGACTAGACAAAGACGGGAGGGGGAGGTGTTTGCTCACTGCAAAACTGCATGGGCGACCATTGGGTGCGCTTTGCATCCAATCACCTCCTTAATTTGTATGTGAGCTGGCTACAGAAAGTAACCTCTTGCCGTCCTCATCGCTAGCTTCCACTGTTTCCAGGTATTCTGTGCTGCAGAGTTTATTGTGAGGGTGAATTCCCCCGAGGCAAATCTCCTACCACCTGACTGCCGTATGTTACTTGGGACATCGAGGAACTCCTGGCTAGATTGGAGAAAATCGTGCCGAGGACCTCTTGACTCCCGGACTGCGAGGATGGGATTCAACTGCCATATAGCTGATACATAGAACGACGGTTCGTTGGAAACGTGCCTTCTCCGCCTGAATACGGGTATGCTCTTCCCGCCAGACGCGTTGTGCCTCCAGTCGCGCTCGTTCTCACTGCTGGGCTTCCTCGGCCGCTCGCGCTCACGCTTCGAGGGCTCGCCGTTCCTCGATCTGTACTCGTTGTCGTGTTCGAGCCAGCCGAAAGACCGAAGGAGCGACGACGAGATAACTGGGAGGCAGCTTGAGCGTATCGTCTTTGTTCCTCCTCAATGTGGGTCAGTCTCTCATCGTGTCGTCGCATCATCTCGGCGACCTGCACTTCGCATTAAGAGGGATGGGGGCTCCTGACTTCCCATTGTTGTATGTGATGAGTCGCTTCGCCGAATCGCATTCGCAAGATTGCATTTTCTACCCGGGAAAGGAGAAGGCGACCCTTTAGACAATGAGATCTTATGTCCGCAGTCATTCTACTGTCCAAGGCAGCTTATATCAGCGCATCGGATTCGTCATCACTCGGGGGACACTAAAGGACATCGGCTCTAGCTCTGCTCCTCAGCTCGAGCTATCAATCTGATCTGACATTTAGCCTTCTCTACGAAACATCCAAAACCAAGCGTCCTCGGCCGTAGCGGCAAACAAGGTATGGTACCAGTGCCCTCCCTACATACATCTAATACCCCTATACACGTCTGATATTTCTGCCGTAACGTCGGATTATCGCCTATATTACCACCTCCTATTTTGTATTGCATCCACTGTCTATCCACTATCACTGCCTCGCACTAATCCACTCATCTCTATCCTCTACATCAAGTCTTTCGTCCTCTCTTGTACCATCAACGGGAATTCGATTTGTTAGATCCACCTCGATCGGAAAGAAGCGTGGCCATGCTCCTTCGCGGAAAAACCGTTGACAATGCTGATTGACTAGCCACGGATTTTCAGGTCGGTATCTCTTTTTCGACTTGACATTTCCGCCACGGCTTTGTGGATTGACCCATCCGTGTCCCTCCCTACAATGTCTTTTTATACTGTTGTCGCTGTCGTTGCAAGTGTAGTAGCACGGCTGGCCGTCTACTTGTGACATCAAGCATACCATACCCCTTTCGAATACTGGTAAGGCTTGGATACGTCCACTCGTGATAGCTGGGCATATTACCTGCTCTGGTTGATGGGCTAAATATGATAGGGTTCCGATATACTGCACTATACTTTTACGAACGGCTGGGGGGATGTGAGGGTGGTGCTTTCTGATGTGGGCTTCTACGTGGGAGGGAACTACCGCAAATGGATCGGGGTATGCGTCGTAGATGATCACGCGATATTGCGGGAGGTGGATGAAGAGACTGCCGAATGCCTCCTGGGGGGTATATTGGCCTTCATTAACAGAATGTAGACTGATACGACATTGTGCGCGAGCTAGTCTTACTAGGTTGATAATGGGTTTTGCCTCCGCCATGATTCGGTTCGAGCCTGGACCTCAACTTCAGGATATGGGTGGTTCTTGGGAGACCGAATGCTCATCTCGGGCCGCTCTCTTGAGCTAGAGTTGAAGGCTGTGGAATGACCGTGTTGTTGACTAATGGAGATATCGTTGATGTTAATCTCCGCGAGCGGATTTCGAGCGACTCCCTGTTGAGCGTATATATTTCGCTATGACGGCATCGAGCTAGAAATGATTTGGTCCTGGCTTGAGACGTGATTCGTGGAAGGAATTCTGGAACCTGTTTTCGCGGGTGGGCTGGAAACTCTAAGGAAATTGTGCCACCGGAAAGACACCTTGCGATATGCCTCCAGAAGAGCAGCGTCGACAATGTGAGAGAAGGCACCATCTCGACCATAGTTCGACGCTCGCACCCGCGGTCGATGTCCACTCTGCCATGAAAATGCTACATCAGCTGGGGCATCGACGCTACAGTCATCGTAACGATTGAATGGACGGGCGTTCTCTCGAACATGCGTTTCGGTGATGGCAATCATCACTTGACGAAGTAACCGAGAGCCCATTGGATACCCAAGAATGCAATTGCTACTCTGGCGGAAAGCGGAAGTAAGATCATTAGTCGTCCAATGGCGATAAGAGGCTTGTCGAGCAACCACCGGATTGGTGGAAAATAGGAGATCGTTGGTGGTAGGTACGTTAAAAGCATGTTGATCAACGGCCGAACGTATACACAACGAAGTGAAGGTGACGAAAACCGCGCTACACAAAATTCGCGATTAGTGTTGCGTTGGGCTTTGGTATATCGCACGAAAGTCATCATCGTCCCGTCATAGACGTAAACGCCACGCGGGCTCATCGGACCATTTCGTAATAGGATGGTAAACATCTCACCGAGACGAGGCACTCCCCCGTCGTTGGTGGCCATAGCTTGTTGCCCTAAGGCGCGGAGCGCTCGATCGTGTAGTTGAAGATACTCAATAACAGCCGGAAGATCCCATTCACCGTATTGAATCAGCGCGTTTGGGCCCATACCGCAAACACTGGTGTAAAGCTGAAGATATACATCGTTTAATCGGTTGGCTGGATCATAGACGAACGAGTATTCTGGAGTGTTATTGCTGAAGCTATCCTTGATACCCTCTAATGATACTTCGGGTCGCCATTGGCGCATCAGCTGATCGTATAAATCTGCGGCGGAATCAGAGAGCGACCGGGCAAAACATCGAAATTGATCCATGCGGAGGCTGTGATCATCGAAGAAGATGGTCTGGCGATCATCGCTCCATCGCACAAAGAATGCCGGCAGTTCTAAACGGAGCATACTTCTGCCGTAGTCAAGGAGGCTAATCATCTCGCCTAGGGGTGTCAAGGAGCCGGCACACATGTACCGGCATCGAACTGAGTTGAGAATTTCCAAGTAATCTCGGCCCAGTCGAACAGGGATTTTCAGGTGTGGATATTGGCGACACGGAAGAATATCTTCGAGAAACAGAAGGAGCTGAAGATGAATTAATGCAGATATTGTGGGCGTATAAAGACGAGGAGTCTGAAACCCGGCTCCATCGGTTGTGAAGGCGAGAATACCGCTGATGTAAACGGGGCCGCTGGAGGAAGGCTGTCAATCTGTAAATTCGTCCCGACACAGTAAGATGCTAAGTTTGAAGACCAATTCGCTCAGAATGTCGCTTCCGGTATTGTGATTGTTAACCAGAGGTATAGGCAAGCTAGCATCTTCGGCGCGGTCGTCGAGGATATAATCGTTATCCTCGTCGCCTTCGTCATTCTCTTCCTCTTCATCTTCTTCACCTTCCTCCCTATCTTCTTCACCTCTATCCACTTCGATCTCTGATGGATTCAGGCGTAAGTCTGGTTGACTCGAGATGATGGATCATAGCTTCCTGATGACTGTGATCTGGGCTGCGGTGACCGGAATGCCTAATGCGCGAAGAACCGATGGCTGGAACCGAACGCTCCGGAGTCCTACACCCAAAACTTGTCTCCAACGCCGTCGATACTTGCGGCGAGTTTCGTCCTGTCCGACGAGCTGGAAAGGAGCTTTGAAGGGCCGGGAAGGGAATCGACTTCGAAGCCAGCATAAAATTGGGTGGCCAGTGCGTCGCACAGTCTCCTCGCAACGATCAAAAGCAACGTCAACGTGTTATAGTATGCGGTGGATCCTTTCCTCATCTTCGGCAGAACTCCAGAGCTCCTGGTCGCCCACGGTCCCGAAGTGCTTTCTGAATTACCGACCATCACGGTCCGGCAATAGAGCTAACCGATAGAGGACATCACGCGGACGATCGCGGTATTTCTCGTACCAACGGGTTCGTTCATGCCACGGTCGAATAAGTGATAGTTCCTGTCCAGCCATTTCCAAGGACATGGGCGTAGCATCCACTTTTTGTAAACGCGTCCGTTCTTGCGCATGGATCTGAAGTAGAAGGTTCGGTAACATGGGTCTCTCTGAGAGCTCTTGGGATGGAAGCATCGTAGTTCGGCGAGTTTTGCGAGGGCGAGGTGGAGTTAACTCAAGACTGGTACTGTAAGATACCGTGGAGTGAACAATCCACACTGACAACGATATACGCCACCACTGGTCCAGCATTGGAAGACACTCTATCACAGTCGCGCATGGCTCGGGCTTGACGTTTTGAAATGCCATGCTGAGACGACAAGTGCCAAAAAAGGGTTTGCTCGCTTGAGGTTGGAGATCGACTGGAGACGGGACAGCGTCGACACGCGTAGCCAGGCTGAATCCTTAAAGACGGATCACAGGGCGATCCGTCTTTACGAGGAGTTAGCTGTGCTGCGTCGTTCAGCTCAAGGGTCTTGGGATGGCGTTCTAGACGATCACGGCTGATTAATTCCACGCTCTGATGACTTGCGATATGCTGCAACACGTAATCGGCACCGATTCTCAAGGCATTCTGGCAGTGGCAGCATATTAACGCTTGCTCTGGGCAGACGAGAATGAGGCTCCATTGATCCAACAGAGTTATTCGCTTCTCGGCAGCCATGACCGGGCCAAACACACGATACTTACACCTCTCCAACGGGTCTTGTGCTGCGAGCTCGCGTTCGGCGCTACGCGTTTTCATCTCTCACTACACACGCTAACCCGCAGTTTTTCGCGCTACACGTCTGAAGTGGGTCTCTTACCCGCAAGAAATCTAGCGCTAAACATGAGAATACGCTCAGTAGGATCTTAGAGGAAAAGAACTCTTAGACCTAGTGTCTTAGATCTAGCTAGTTAGAAGGTAGGAGTGTCTACCTATGCATTATATAGGTAAATTCCACTAATTACGCTCCAGTCTGTAGATTCTCCTATTATAATAGGGAAGCTTCCCTTCCCTCATGCTTTAAGTCTTAGTTAAGATATATGATCAAGGAATACCTATACCTACCCCTTACCTATCGCCATACTCTACCTATCTATATAGGCTGTTCCTGACAGTCAACCACCTTTAACATCGCTATAGTTAACTTCACTTAAAGTCTTATGAAGTAGCTGTTTATCGGACCAGTTAGCTAACTAGAGGGTAAATGTATATACTATAGGATGTTACGAACCGACCTTCATACGACCACCTAAGGGCATAAGGAAAGGAAGGTTAAGCGAGAAGTAGCCTCGTCGGTAAGGCTAACCCCGATTACGTAATAACTAAAAAAGGAGATACACTATTATATGCGGAGTACCGTTATACGCTAAGGGAATGTAATAGCTATAATACTATAATGCCTAGACCTACTTAAATAGAAAACCTACCTAAAGTATATAGTTAGCTAGATCCGCTTCTATAGAAAGCGTAGTTAACCTCGTTCATAAATAATCGAGTTCCTCTCGGTTAAGTACTTTACGTATAGTCCCGCGTACTATACTCTTAGTTTCGTCTCTACTACATCGCTCCACTACTATATCACTAAGTAAACTACCTCGGGTTTACTATGGCACCTCACGTGTAAAGCATCTCGTAATATAGGATTAATAATGATAGATAACTAGCCTATAGATAGAGATGTCAACGCTTAAAGAGGCTTCAAGGTTAATAGGTACGACCCCTCTTACTATATATATACGGTAAGCTAGCTACTTAGCTGGCGGCCTAACTCCTTAGTTAGTGGTCTAAGCCGAGTGTCCAGTGTCACGTGGGTGTTCGTGACACTGTTAGTAATCAGGTCTTAGTTATCTCATCGACCTTATACTGACTAACCTACATATAAGATGGATCTAGAAGAGGTGAACGATTCGCTTTTCACCCTTATACCTAGATAATAACTAATGCTACCTTCAGTAGGGGACTCCAATAGGAGAAGGGAAAAGCTATCATGGTGCGCCTTCTTAATTAAGGTCCACTTTGAATCAACTGAAGCCCCACGATATGCCAGGGGATAACAAACTCAGCATAATAATCCTTGAGCCCATCAATACATGCCTTGAACGTTGGCTTTTTCTCAAAATCTTCATGATGAGCCTAGGTCCATTAGCTTTCACAGTCTAGTCGAAGTAAGAGGAGGCCATACGTACATCCACGGACTTCCAGTTGATCAAAAGAAGCTGGTTCTGGGGGTTTTCCAGTAGAGGACTGATGAAATGTCCATCGCACCCAGGGTCGTTATCCAGGATGGGGACGACAATCTTATGAAACTGGGAATAGTAGCCTTGCACGCCACCTTCGACGACTTTCGTCAGGGCGACCTCGATTGCGGGTGACTGAAGTGTCTTGGTCAAATGCTCCTTGTCGCTAAGTCCGCCTGCTTTAATTGAAGCATGGTTCTGCCATTCAATTTTCCTCCCGTTCATCGCGGGCTGAATGACTTTGTGAAACTTGCTGTATTCGGAGCTTGTGAAGAACGCATGGCTTGCCTCTAGGCTCTCCCATAAAAGGAGGGCAACCTGGGTGTGGCGGTCTTCATGCTTTCTCCCTCTCCATATGGCTTGTAGTCCTTTGGCCCTGCTCATAGCGCGTCAGTGAGTCTCGTTGCAATCGACTGGGAATCGAGTGTCTCATGCAGACCTTTGTAGTATATCAAAGCCTGGAGCCAGGTCCTTATTGATCTCCGCATCGGTGTGTACCGGTCGATGAGGGACTATAATAAGCTGGATAACTTGTGATTGGTCTGCCATAGTGTTCGAGAAGTGTGTTGTACAATTGTCTGATTGACAGATTGAGCAAGGGAAAGGGAAGCATATGACCATTGCCCTTCACAAGAGAAGACATCGTCATCTTTGAGTTTGACTGGGTGAAACGGATTCCCAGAGATTCTCTAATGGATTGTGAGGATTGTTCAATTGAACATGACCCCCACATTTCGCCCGCTCGATTTGGGCTTCAAGTAAATCGACCGAAATCAGTCCGCCCCACCAAATCGACCATGTCTCCATTTGCCACGCTTTGGTTAAATGCACACTTCGGGGGAAAACCAGGCTCGCTTCTCTTTCGATCCTAATGATAACTGCGAGGTGTCTTCCAGAAGACAATTAGTCATGTGTCAGGGGGCTTTCCCGAACCCCTGGGCTTGTCGATTGAAGGACAACCTTATGATGTGGAACTTTACTACTGAGAGGCCATGGCCGTACATTGCGCTGCGAACGTTTCTGGAGATGGCCGCAGTTTCCCTTCGGCTGGTTCTAGTTGAACACCAGTGCGTATACTCCGAGTGTCTGGGGAAATTTCGGTCAGACTACGAATCGTAGTGATTGTATTCGATGAATGTACCATTTGGAGAGAATGTTTTGATCGCCTTTCTGGTTAATAGCCCTTGTAATTGCAAAATTGTATGTTCAGTTGATTCTTCCTATAACAGAAGACGGTACACTATTGACATCAAACTCGAACAGCAACGCGACTGCTGCTGCCTACTTAGCCTTGGAATAAGGTATACTGCAACATGATCACCTTCGAGGCACCATCTCACGCCTCTTCGACAGTTTCCACTCGCTTTTCGCCGGTCTTCTCGAATTCGAGCTTATTGACGTCGATAGCACAGATCTCCACAGCCACATGATCTCCAAATTTAGCTGCAATTTCTTCCAAGGTCAATCCGGCAGTCTGTTCAAAGTTCATCAGCCAACACCTCTTAAAGGGAGCTTGAATCTTACCTCAGGACAATACCAGAGAAGGAAGGTGTTGGATACGATACAGACCGCGATCATCACAAAGTAATAGCGCCATCCAATGGTTGAAAAGGCTTCCGCCGCTGGGCTGTTGTACACGATGGTCATTATGAAGAAGGAGACAAAGCCGATCGTCGCACCCTCACTTCGGAGGTGAGTTGGCCAGATTTCAACGATGTAGGTATAGCCAGGACACTCAATTAACAGCCCGAAGATGAAGACAAAGATGAAATACATGGCAGTGGCCGCTTTGAGACCTGCTGCGTTGGAGGATCCGATGTAGTATTTCTGGAGGACTGCCTCGATGATGAGGCAAGTACTGCAGAGATAGCCTCCCAGAGCTAGAATAGTGTTAATTGAGCTTGATGAGACGTCAATGCGGCGCCACCTACCAAGTTGCTTCACGCGGCCGAGACGTTCGATGAGAAGACCACTGAGCCAAGTTCCGATTGCACATACTGTGACCCAGACGACGGAAAGCCCCAATTGAAGTACGTTACTGTATCCCAGACCAGCAAAGAGCTGTGGTGCGAAGTTTGCGATAACAACGATGCCAGTCGATTGGCCCATGACCCAAACAATGGATCCACAGATGGCTCGTTTGCGCATGTGAGGCGTTTTCAGGATATACCAGTAACCAGAAGGTAAAGACTATCGACTTTAGTATTCATGTGGCCTTCCTGGAGTTCAATACAACAAACCTTTTCTTCTTCTATCTGCGCCTTGATCTGGATATATTCCATACGTGCAAGTTTCGCCGTGGGGTCTTTCTTTGACTTGTGCAGCTTCTGTAGAACCGCCCAGGCGTCATCTGCTCGTCCATTGTCCTGGGATATGGTGTTAGCATCGCTGTCGCACTTTCTTAAAATTAGAGCCACTCTTACCATGAGCCACCGAGGACTTTCTGGGATGAAATACATGGTCACCACCAAGAGTAGTGCAACTGCGGTCAGAATGATATATTGCAAACGCCACTGATAAGAATGATCGACAAAGTGGAATGCGAGAGCGAAGACGGATGAAAAAATGTAGCGCCGGTGATCGAGATCCCCTGGAAGCTGACCAGAATACCGCGAGTATGGGCGGGCGCAATTTCGCTCATGTAGACTGGCGTATTCGCGATGATGATACCAGCTCCGACTCCATTGAGGACACGAGCAACGAGGAACATTGCGATGTGGACGCTGCCAGCTTGGAGAGCTCCAGCTATCATGATAATGACAGCGGCCGCCATGTTGCAAGGTCGTCTCCCGAAGCGCGAGGATATGGGGCTCTGAAGCACACTTCCAATGAAACCTCCGCCAAAGAACCTAGCCAGTCAGGTCAGAGATAAAGTGACTAGGAGCCAGGGGCGGCCGAGTCCTTACGCTCCAAGCATTCCTCCCACGCGAGACGTTGGGTCCTTCAGCAAGAAGTACTCAACAAATGAGGCTTGGGCGATCGTCCCAGCAATGGCATTGTTGGAATAGCCAAAGTTGAAACTTGCCGTGGCGGCCGCAAGTATAGTGATGATGTTGATCCAAGTTGTGTGCGGCTTCATAGGGGCATGGCTATCCCCAAGGTCAGGAGTAGGAGACATGGTCACTGCTTGTGACAGATAGGAACTGGAGCCTGGCTGGGGGAAGGGAGTCTTAACTGAAGACCTTGACAACGAAAACAAAGAGTTTTAAGACCAGCCTGCACCTGGTTCGCTAGCAATGACCTGGGGAGCAGGACGGAGTCTTTAACCTCCACCATATAAGCCCAGTGCATGGGTGAAGCTGGGTCGTAAAATTCTAAATCTCGGAAATTCTCCTCCAAATTTGGGATTCGACGGGATACCCCAGGGAGAAGAGAAACGGGATGTCCTCGTGGGCTACAGAGCACTCTACGGGGCTCCGTTCTGTAGTATGTGGGGGGATCTAGACTCGCACACCGAGGAACATATACTAGCAATAAAGGTGAATTATCTCACTCGAGAAACCTAGTCTAATTTACTGGATTTTGGACGACACCTCCCGCGTGAGCTCTCCAATCCTACTGCTTGTCTTACAGCACAGCTGCAGATACTACGACATGGGAAGAGTCATCAACACTGGTGTATTAGACAGTGATTCTTCTGGAGAATCAGGTAATGATACCACGGTGGAACGCAATAAATATACTCCGGATGGTGCCGTGTAAACGGTGTCACTGCCCCCTGACCCAACAGGGAGAGAAGGCTAAAGGTCTAGGCTCATTGGAATCATTTGTCTCCACAGCTGTAATGCGTATGGCAGAAGGAGGTAACATAGGTTATCAGCCGGAGTATTAATCGGCCTGATTATGACTGGTGCTGGCTCAAGAGACCCTACCCATCGGTGCGTTTACCATGGCCAACTTCAAATGGAGTATATTCCGGGGTTCAGTGCGGAGATTTATGCTAACAAATGAATTTCCCTACCATCTGGGGTAACCTTATGCTGTAGATCCGTAATTGTACAACGTACACATACTCTTACGCTCATTGGAGGCCAAACGAGTCTCTGGGATACCTCGTTATTCAGCATCGACAGTCTCGGAATGGGCGATCCTATATTGATCTACAGACAAAACCACCAACCTTACTCAGCCTATAGCATTAGAAGGATGGCGAAATACATACGCGCAAGTAGTAGTTGTATTATATATTAGGAGACGCCATCATCCCGTCCTCCTGTTTCTCGACATCTTGAACGTAGTTTTATCGAAAACGCGATATTCTGTATGCTAAGTTCGTGGCCTGCCTTATTAGTCTCTCGACATGGGCCTTTTTATCGTCCTAATTGCCCTTACTCTAGTCTTCTCCTACCCATTATACCGACTGTTTCAGGTTGGCCGTCGACATCCACGCATGCCCCCAGGGCCACCTACAATCCCAATCCTAGGCAACGCTCACCAAATACCGATCACGGGTCTGGGGAGAAAGTACGACAGGTGGATGTACATGTCTAGCTCTGACAGTAGCTAATGTGCGCAGGTTCAAGTCCTGGGCCGATGTATATGGGCCTATCTTTTCTTTGACCATCGGTCCCACGAATATTGTTGTTCTCTCTGATCGGCGAGCTATTAACAACCTCTTGGAGAAGAAAGGGAGCATCTACTCAGACCGACCATTCAATTACGTCTCCAACTACGTGACACATGGTGACCATTTAACCCTTGAGCCTCAAGGCCCGTCGTGGAGAGAGAAGCGAACCGTTGTGACGCGAAACTTGAACCCCAAGTCCCTGGATGAGAAGCATTGGAAGATACAAGAAGCAGAGTATGTCTCCATGATTCACACCAGCTATGTTTGAGTACGTACTAAGTTGACAATATCCAGGGCGGTTATATTCATGAATAATATTCTCAAGGATCCATCCAGAATATTCGACTATGCACGTCTGTACACTGTTTCAGTAGCAGGATCTCTTATCTGGGGCCACCGAGCGACAAGCCTGGAGTCATTCTGGTACAAAGACTTTTACGAGCTAATGGACCTGGTAAGATCTTGTTACATCCCCCTTTCTCATTCGATCATTTCTGACTTTTATTCTAGTGGCTTCATGTTCAGGAGCCCGGGGCTAACCCCCCGATCGATGAGTTCCCAATTCTGAAATACCTTCCAGGTAGTTGGAAGAGTAGGGCCGAGAAGTGTCGCAAAATGATGGACGAAATGTGGGATAAGGCTCGAGCTATCGTCGATGAGCGAAGAGCACGCGGAGACAAAAGAGACTGTTTTATCGATGCTAAAATCGACGAATATAATGAGAAAGGCTGGCCTCTATCGACACACGCTTTCAACAACCTATTCGGAGAACTTCTTGAGGCGGGCGCAGATACAACTGCGAACCATATTCTAACACTAATTCTAGCCATGGCGAAGTATCCCCACGTTCAACAGCGCGCAAGAGCAGAGATCGACGTTCTTTGTGGAACTGACAGGGCACCATTATTTTCAGATTTCGACAAGCTACCGTACATCAACTGTATTGTTAAAGAGGGAATGAGATGGCGACCTACGTAAGTAGTCAAATCCTATGGCCTTTAGCTCTCACGACCGAGGATAGAATGTGCTGATGGAGACAGAGCTCCTGCCGGTCTTCCTCATATGGTCACCCAAGGTCTATTAATCCCACCCACAGTGCCATGCTAGCAAGATACTGACAATTTCAGATGATGAGTACGAGGGAATGCTGATACCTAAAGGCTCGATGGTTTTTGTGGGCATATGGGCCTTGCACCACGATGAGTCAGATTTTCCAAATCACGACCATTTCAATCCAGACCGCTACCTTGACCATCCCAAGTTAGCGAACGAGTACGCAGTCAGCCCTGACTACAATAACCGAGATAAGTACTTCCCATGGTGACTTCTCATGGTGATACTAACTTGAGCTTGTACATCATTATGGCTACGGCGCTGGCAGAAGAATGTGCCCTGGCTTGCACTTGGCAGAAAGGAATATGTGGCGGATCGCGGCGAAGCTACTATGGGCATTTGATATCTCCGAGCCAAAGGATCCTAGAACTGGCGAGGTCATCCATCTCGACGAGAACGCATACACGTCGGCTATTCTGATGTGTCCATTACCTTTCAAGGTCGATATCACGCCGAGAAGTGCGGATCATCTGGCATGTATTGAGCGGGAACTGTCGAGCGCAATGAGCTTTATGTCCCAGTGGAACTAGCTCTCACCCAATAGCAAAGACATAAACAAGATCTCAACAATACAAGACTGTCTTGTAATACGACGCCTTGTATTCAATCGTCGAAAGTAGGTCCGTACGACTTACGGAGGCTGGTGGATCGGGTGACTAGCCTCAAGAGGTATTCGGTACAAACCAGAAGACAACCACTCCCCCTGCTGCCACAGACTGCAGGTATTATAATGAAGCCTGGCTTACACGTGATGGAATGGCTTTTAGTCAGCATTATAGGCGACCCAACCCACCAAGTCAAGTAAACCCTATCTCCCTTCCATGATCTCATTAATATTGAACTCGGAGTGGCGGGCAGGGTATTCCCTTTTGGTCCAGTCCCAAAGGAGGTTTTGTCATACGATGTCGGTTCAGAACCTCCAGCGGGGCCCCAGAGGAGACCTAACTACCGCCAGTCTTACTACAGTTAGACTACAACGGAGTCCCTCCGGGAATTAGTCCATGAATCACCGGTGGCCAAGAAGATGCCCCGAAGTCCTCAACATCAAACCCTCGGAAATACACCAAGGGGAGTAGGCAGCTGACCGGGTGAGCTCTTTCCTTCCTCTATCTCAACCCTGCCACATTCGAAATCATACCGACGGTGAAGTGGTCAAATCAGGTTGCGCAATAATGAATGTTCAGAAAAATGGGGAGAATACACGTTGCCCGCCAGGGCCGGTAAGGCCTCGAGTTCGTAGCTTCATGCCTTACATCAGCGACCATGAAGAGCCATATTGCCACGAGCTGCGCTTCTCAAAACTGACAGATATCAAGTCGTCGTCCCGGAACATATAGCTGGATATCTGATTGCTTGTTCTATCCCCATTCAAAACAGATTACGCGTTCACCTGAGGTCAATAGGATAAGCAAGCTGATACGACCATGTCTGTTCGAGGAAGAGTTGCAATTGTTACCGGAGCTGGCGGAGGCTTGGGTCGCCTTTACGCCTTGGAATTGGCAAAGAGAGGGGCTAAGGTCGTCGTCAACGACTATGGCGGGACCCTAGATGGACAACCGGGAACAAGTGCTCGCGCACAAGCGGTGGTTGAAGAAATCAAAGCTGCCGGGGGCATTGCGATTGCAGATGGCCACGATGTTTCTTCTGTGGCTGCAGCCAAGGAAATTGTGGCCGACACCGTCAAGGAGTTTGGCACTGTCGACATTCTGATAAACAACGCTGGGATCGCTGGCAAGATGTCCCCACATGACGATGTGGATGCTGGCGCTTTCATGAGAGTACTTGAAATAGCGACTCTTGGAACGACATCGATGACCAGTGCGTGCTACTCTTGGATGGCAAGGCAGAAGTACGGCCGAATCATCAATACATCCTCGAACGCCATCTACGGGTTTGGCGCGGGAGGAGACTGTGCTTATAGCGCCTCGAAGGCTGCTGTATTTGCCATTACGCGAGAACTTGGTCGCTGGGCACCACGAGATGGCATCAAGATCAACTGCGTCATGCCATCGGCCGCCTCTAGGATGGGAGATCTGTCTGAGGGCACAAAAAAGGTTACAAGGACTTATTTCCAGCCGGAGGTAAGTAGTCTACACACTATGATAGCTGATGGAAACTCGCAGGAATTTACTAATATCGCTATAGGGGGTAGTTCCCTTCGTCATCAGCCTCGCCTCGGAAGAGTGCCCATCATCGGGTGAGGTGTTCACGGCAAGCGCAAACAGGGCTGCCCGGGAAACACTCGCAACGTTCCCCGGGGTCAAATCCGAAACGGCAGAGGGATTTCTGGAGAATTGGGATAAAGTCATGGGTCGAGGTGAGGAACCGTACTTGGCGGAGGACACCCTGGATCATGTGAAATATGTCATCCGCCAGGCTCATGGGGTGGAGATGGAGGATATCGCAGACTTTAGCATAGTTTCTCGATAGCTATCGAA